GTTTTGAAATCAGAGAGTTCGAGGCCTCCAATTTTTCTTTCTCTAGATATTTTGGCTATTCTGGGTTCCTTGAATTTCCTAATCCGTGGCATTTTGTTGCTGGGGTGAATGAGCTTTATTTCCTGTTTGGTCATTGCTGGTGTATAGAAAACCATTGAATTACATATAATTTTGTGTACAGCTACTTTACAACTCTTTGTAAACATTCCTCAATCCATTAGCGGGGGTTTCTCAGGTAGACTATCATATCTTTTGCAAATAATCATAAGCAAAATTTATAACTCTTCCTCCCCAAATTTATGTCTCTTATTTATGTTTCCTTATTGTTTTCCCTTAAATTTCAGAATATTGTTGACATTATTGCCATCCTTGTCCTGCTCCTTGTTTTTGTAGCATTGCCTCTGTTCCAAAGAACTATATTTGCTCTCCATTCCTGGTCATCACCAGCTATCATATGGTCTGTGGGCTTGAGATAACATTTATCATCCTGACAAAGTCTTTTTATTCCTAGTCCCTAGGAGTTTTCATCAGGGTGCATCCTATTAGGCTAATGATGCAGTTGTTCTCCGGTGGCCCATTCATATGATGAACAACATTAATAAACTTTGAACATTGACCCTCCTTCGCATAAACGGTCTCTCACGCCAGTGGGAACAAATTAGCGCACATTAACAGAAATAACTCAGAGCTCGCTGCTGCAGCTCCCACCTGAACAATACAGACCAGATGTCACACGCTGGAAGCCAGTAGGCCGCGTCTGGCTTGGCCTGCGAGGAGTTTTAAAATACTCTTTTGAATTTCCTGCATTTACAAACCAGGCAATTTCAGATCAAGAGTTCCAAATTTTGGTTTTCTTCAAAAATTATAAAGTCTGACCACATCACTTCTGCATTTCCACGGGGCTGAAGCCGGGCTTTTCCCAGGGGGGCCTCCTTCAGCGGTCTCCTCATTTGCATCCTTTCCAAACCTTATTGTTCCCAGACATCAAGGTCAGGGGTCAGTCGCCAGTTTTTGTATTTGTGCAATTGGTTTTGTTTTTTTATATATTGGAATTAGGTAAGAGTGAAATATTTCTTGTAATCATGTCTCTAGCAAACGTGGAAAAATAGAAGAGGCCAAGAGGGATATATGCTTCAAGAGAAATGGGAGGAGGCACATTTCTTGCCGGGAGTGAAGAATATTCCTTTTTGTGTAATATATGAAGCGTGCCTGTGGAAAGAGTACAACGCATAATGCCTCCAGAAAAGAAATCCGAAGAAGAATGTGCAAAAGCTCTGTGGGGAGAGGCAACCTTTGAACTGGGGGGAAAGGGACTGACATTTCAGCAGGGCTCGTTTCTGGAGGCTCAGCGTATAAAGGAAGCTGCCATGAGATGATGTAAGACAGGTGAGTGGACACCATCTCACCAGTTCTGTGCAGGACTTGGACCTGTTTGGCTCTTGGAGACATCTGAGCTTCTGACTCCTGCTCAGTCCTCCAGCTTCCTTCAAAGCTTCCTTCATTGTGTCCCCCTACCCCCCGGAAATCTACCCCCCTACCCCTGTTGTTCTCCAGGACCCTAATGGAAACTACTCTTTTGCTGTTGCCTGAAGCTCTTTTCTCCATGAGGATCAAGAACCAATCTGATCTGACCTGGGACAGCGGTCACACCGCTACCAGTAAAGCATCAGTGGACTTGCTTGGGAGGGACTGGGGGGCGGTGAAGGTTGGCCCCCACCTTCATCGGTTCTTCCCCAAATGTCCTTTCTGAACTTTAAAATGGCAACTGATCAGTCAGATCCAAAGTCTCCTATGTTGACCTACTGGAGCTTTCACTGGAGACCACACTGCATCTTGCAACCCAAGACCCGGCATAAACCCCTCCTGGCAGGCGCCTGACTTCCCACCATTGTTGCTGGTGGGCAACCAGTCCAACTGAGCCATTGAATATGCCTGAATCGCTTTAGGCTCATTCAAACACTGGCATTCCTTGAACAGACTCTACTTTGTCACGGCATATTACTATCTTAAAGGCTGAGTACAATTTGTACTTACTTACATATTTATTTTTAATTCTCACCAAAGGACTTGCTTAGACAGAAGAAGGGAGAGAGAGAGATCGGTTGCTTTCTGTACTTGCCCAACTGGGGATCAAACCCAGGTATGTGCCCCGACCATGAATCGAACTGGCAACCTTTTGGTGCACAGCATGACGCTCAACCAACTGAGCCACTCTGATAGGCTGTGCTTATTTTATTTCAGATTTTTATATTTGTATCATAGAAAACAGTGGTCTGTCGTTTTCTTTTTAAGTTTTAGTAACAAGGAAAATGAAATGGGAAGTTCTTCAAAAGTTTGAAAGAGTTGCAACATTTAATGTTTGCTTTTTTTAAATGTATATTTTGCAGTGATTTTGGAGTTATAAAAAATGTTGTAGCCCTAGCCGGTTTGGCTCAGCATATAGAGCAGGGGTCCTCAAACTTTTTAAACCGGGGGCCAGTTCATTGTCCCTCAGATCGTTGGAGGGCCGGACTATAGTTTAAAAAAAAACACAAACTATGAACAAATTCCTATGCACACTGCACATATCTTATTTTGAAGTAAAATAACAAAACAGGAACAAATACAATATTTGTATTTGCATTGGCCCGCGGGCCGTAGTTTGAGGACCCCTGATATAGAGCATCAGACTGAGAACTGAAGGGCCTCAGCTTTGATTCCGGTCAAGGGCACATGCCCGGGTTCAGGCTCAATCCCCAGTAGGGGGTGTGCAGGAGGCAGCTGCTCAATGATTCTCTCTCATCATTGATGTTTCTATCCCTCTCCTTCTCTCCCCTCCTCTCTCTGAAATCAATAAAAAACATATATTTTTTAAAAATGTTGCCTAGGGTTGCCATAAAATGAAGCCAGAAAAAAGAAAACAGAAATATTAGTCAGAGGCAGAAGAGGAGAAGTCAAGGGAGATAATTCTCAAGGAGGGGTAGCATCAAATGCCACAGTGAGGTAAGAAATGAGGGCACTGGATTTGGCATTTGGGGTTTCCTTGGTGACAGTTTCAGAGCGCTGAAACATAAATGTAGGATGAGGAAGTTGAGACGACTAGGCTCCTCTTTGAAAACATAAGGCAGTGAAAGGAAGGAGAGGGACAAAAACAGACGTATTTTTAAATGAAGCAACAACAGAGCTGTACACAGTGGTACAAAATCAGGTGCCACACGAGTGACAGAGACACCTTGAGTCTTACCAGCTGCTTCGGGGAGGCGGGAGTCAGATGCCCCCAGTAGCTGCAGTTCGGAGTTGTGGCCAATAGGTGTCAGGTGCTGCTCAGATCTCCTGGTTGGTGGTCTGCCGGCTTGGGACAGGGGGACACAGGTGGAGCTCACTGAGGGGGTGGGATAACATGACAACGCAACATCTGGGCCACACCTGCTGATGGAGAAGGGAACGGCCACCTGCGAGGGGAGGCAGGATGGGACTGAGTGGGCTTCACGGGCTGCTCAGCCTCCTGGGAGTGACCTGAGGGGCCCCTCTGCCTTGGCTTTCCTCTCCCTGCAGTTTCAGGAATACAAAGAACAGGGAAGAAGTCCAGGATGCCCTAACCTCTCTAGCATTTTCTTCACCCTTCAAAGCGATCTCATAATGCAACACGTCAATGTGGTACACAAGTGTGTCACTCTTGCTACCCTGTTCCTCATTCTAGAGCAGTTCTACCCCTTCCCCCATCCTCCCCCTCGCCCCCTCCAGGCTGGCCACCTCCGGGCTCCCTCCTCCCCACCCCCTCTCGCTTCCGCGGTGGAAAAGTAGGGGTTGGGAGACTACAGTCCTTGCCCACCCTCATCAAGTCCCATGACCTTAGGCGTATCCTCTGTCTTTCATGGCCTTGGTTCCTTATTTATAAAATGGTGGGGGGGGGGGGGCAGGGGGGCGGGAGGGGGTTCAGTGGTGAATGAGGAGAAGCACTAGATGGTTTTGAGCCCCCTTCCACCTCTTACTACCGGCGGGAACAGTCCTCCGTGTTCACCCAGCGAACTTTCTGTTTTAGGCCTTTGGGGAAGTTGCTCTCTTGCTATTTAGGGAGCCAGGGACAGCCAAGTCATTGGCGCTCACATCTCTCAAGCTCAGGTAGGGCTGTGGCTTCTGACCAACAATAACGAACCGGCTTCTGGCAGCTCCTGCGGCTGGCGGCCTCGTCCAGGAGCGGCCGTGAGAGTTCCAGCCAGGCCCGCTGTCACCTCTGAGTCGAGTGCCGCCTGGCGCCGCTGGGGCTGCCTGCACAGCAGCAAACCAGCTCGGCTCCGTTTTGCAAACGAGGACACTGAGGCACGGGGGTGGGCTCTGACTTCCAGGGCTCTGCGACCCGCCTCCTGGCATAACCGCGGCTGCCGCGTGGTCTGCGGGGAGAGAAGGGGCGGCCCTTCAGGGACGAGAAACGGAGGCAGTGACAGCCCCGTGGAGGAGGCGGGAAAGCCAGACCCGCGGCGGGGAGTCTGGACTGGCCGGTGCTTCTCGGTCCCCGCGGAAGGTGAGGGTCAGGGCGTCTTTCTGCTCCGAGGGGGCGCAGACATTTTACATGTTCAGAGCAACGACAGAAAATAGAAGTGGTAAAAGGAAGTGGGGCGCTGGGTCTCCGCGAGAGAAGGAAGCAGCTCCTCCGAGCTTCCCCTTTCTCCTCCTTCCCCGACGCCCCCACCCCAGCCTGGCCCCTGCCCCGCCCACCTCCCCTGCGGGGTCCAAAACCGCTTCCGCTCCCCGGGCGGAACCGCACCTTGCTCCAGGGCGGGAGGGAGTGGGGGGGGGGCTGGCATGCCTCCCACCGCGGCCGCCCACCGTCAGGGCCCGTTCCCTCCGACGGCAGAGCGGCTCAGAGCTGCGGGCTGCAGCAGGGCTGCGAGGACACGTGACCTGGCCCAGCGCCTTGCCATCCCTGCCCCGCCACTAGGTGGCGCGACGGGTCCGCTGGGCGGGCGGCCGGCCTGGCCCGGGCCCCGCCCCCGCCCACGAGCAAGCTCCGCCCACGGCGCGGCCCCGCCCACAGCTGCCCGAGGAGCGGAGCATCGGCCGATGCTGGGACCTGCCGCGCGACTGCAGCCCAGGTGCGGGGTCCCGGCCGAACCCCGGGTCGCAGGGAGTCGTCACTGGAGAGGGGCGTGGCGCCCGGCGGGGACTGCAGGTGTGTGTCGGGGCGGCCGGGGCGGGGGCCGTCGGGGGCGAGCTCGGGACTCGAGGCGGCGCCGAGCGGGCGGGCACCGTGGGGGAGCGGTGGGCTCGGCTGCGGCAGCGGTGGCGGCGGCGGCGGCGGCTGGACAGATCCTGCTCTCTCAGGGCTCTGGGGACAGGAGCCACACCCGCGGTCCCCACAGTCCCGGAGACAGAAGGGGCATTCCGGGGCTCCTCTGTCGTTGCCTAGGTGGCCGCTGCCTCCCTGCGGTCCGAGTGTGGCCATAGCTTCCTGCCACCTCCCCAGGCCGCGTGCGTCCTGTGTCACGGGGTCACAGGTCTGCACCTCCCCGCCTGGGCGCCCTCCCGGGGAGCATTGGCCTCCGGGGTCCTTTGCCATCCGGGCCTGGGGGTCGTGCAAGTGCTTGCCTCAGCCCGCCCCTAGCGAGCGTGGGCCCAGGCAGGGGCTGCTCTTCTAGCGGATTGCACGCCTGGCACTGTCAGGATTTGTGTTTACACCCTGCCTGCCTGTCCCTTGACGTGTGTGTGTGTGTGTGTGTGTGTGTGTGTGTGTGTGTGTGTGTGTTTGCGCGTGCGCGTCGGGCTGGTCCTGGGGTAAATAAGCAAGAAGTTCAGGTCAGTAGGAGGAAGGAGATTGTTGGGAGGGAAAAGGAAGATGAGATGAAAGTAGCAGGATGTGGTATCTCGTGAGTTAACAAGCCTCCGTGCAGAGAGGAGGGGTGGGTTTAGGCAAAATGAGGACTCAAAGTAGGCCAGGGTGCCTCCAAGGCCCCTTCTGGATTGGCCTTCTCCCCCGCCTCTCCCCCTGGGCCCGGCATCTGCCCATCCAGCTCTCCTTCCTCCTGGCCTCGGACCACCTGGACCACCTGGTGCAGGCCTAGCCCTACAGCACAGCTCTCCGGGGGTGGGGTCTGGAATCGTATTATTCTACAGTCTGAACAAGCTTCTTAAGGGATGACGCTGGAGCCACTGCCTGGGGACTCCCTGTTGTATGGAAAGGACACCCGGGTTCCAGCCAAGCCCCGTGGTGTGATCTTGAGCATCTTGCCGCCCTCTCCCAGCCTGTTTCCCTGTCCGCAAAATGGGCTCCCCTAGCGACTTCTGGGGCTGTGGGAACATTCAATGGGGAAGGTGTGATAAGAGCAGCTGCACAGGGGAGCTTCTCCCTGGGCGTTTGCAGAACAAGAGTGGGCGGCAAGGGCTCACCTCTTCCTCAGCGTGGTCCCTGGGGTGGGATGATCCAGCTCTCTTCCTGCTTCAGGAAAACCTCCTTTGATTTTTTTAAGCATAACCGGCCAAGACTGTGGGGCAGGAGGGCGCCCGGTCCGTGTGCTGCCCTCATTAGGGTTTTAAGAAAACCTTTCCCCTTATCTCTAGCTTGGGCGGGGGTGAGTAATGTCCTCTCTCAGCAAGCTGTAGGGTAAGCCGCCACCTCGTCACCCCGCCCATGCACCCCTCTTGTTTCTTTCAAGAATAGCAGTGGCACTGGGCTACAGTGTGTTGGGGATTACTACAGTGGTAATGATGGGGGGTGGGGGGGTCGGCCTTCACGGTGAAGGCGGAGGAGGCTGGCTCTGGAGGCTTCTCTGCAGCCCCAGGTGAGTCACTGGCCCTGGGCCTGCTGGCTGAGAAGTGGGAGGAGAACCAGTAGATTTTTAGCCTGGGCAGCCTGGTGCTGGAGGCCCCAGCTTGGGTTCAGTGAGCACTCAGGCTATGCACATGGCCTTGGCTCAGAGAGGCTCACCCTGAGCTGGGGGCTCTGTGGGATCCCTGGGAACCTGAAGACTTGTTTGTCTGAGCCATGGGTGGGCTGAAAGCCTGGATCAGCTTCTTGAAAGAGGAAGCTTCTGGAGGGCAAGGTAGAGAGGTCACCAGAAGGTCAAAGGAGAGGTGTTACCTTTGGCTTGGAGCCTCTGGCATACATGGGTGGGTAAAGGAAAGAATATATCTGACTTCTCTGCCCAAGAGACACTTTCACAGCAAACGTATTGCATATTCGGATTCCCATTGACTTAAAGATGTGCATGCTTTCACATTTTAACAACTCTGACATCAAGATGCATCTTACCATCTATAGCATCTCACCATCAGAATAGATAGCCGTGTTCCTTTCTTAGTGGCACACAAAATAATGGTGCGCTTACATACAGTCGATGGCGTCTGAGATTCTGTTAAACACGATGTATGTTTTCCAAAATTTGAGGGACACTTTAGATCAGTGGTTCTCAACCTGTGGGTCGCGACCCCTTTGGCGGTCGAACGACCCTTTCACAGGGGTCGCCTAAGACCATCCTGCATATCAGATATTGACATTACGATTCATAACAGTAGCAATATTACAGTTATGAAGTAGCAACGAAAATAATTTTATGGTTGGGGGTCACCACAACATGAGGAACTGTATTAAAGGGTCACGGCATTAGGAAGGTGGAGAACCACTGCTTTAGATGTACCCAGGTACACACAGAATTGACATTCCCCTAAGTAAATTTGTATACATTCATTTTCCAGCAACTCTGCCTTCTAAACACCCCAAAACTTTTCAGTATGTCTAGTTTTAAAGGACATCTTTGTAAAATGTGTTGCTTGCATTTATAAATGTAGCACATTGTGTGGGATTTAATATCTTGAAAATATCACACGGCTCTGCCTGCCATTCTTTGTACCTGGGGGCTGCTCAGGACACATTTTCTGCCTTTTTCTTCCTTCCCTTTCTCCCAGTATTTCATGTTCTTTACTCCTCACAGCCACACTCAGAGGCGGCCACAACTGTTGCCCCTATTTTATGCGTTAGGAACCTGGCCACATGACTAGAAAGTGGTAGAGCTGGGCTGACCCTGGCTGGCGTCTACTCCTTTTAAAAATATGTTTTTATTGATTTTTTTAGAGAGAGAAACATCAGTTGGCTGCAACCCAAGCATGTGCCCTAACTGGGAATTGAACCGTGACCTCTTAGTTCCTGAGTTGACGCTCAACCACTTAGCCACAACCAGTCGGACACTGGCGTCTACTCTTGACCAGAGATGATTAAGCTTGAGTGGCAGCCTGCATGTACTCTTGGGTGTGAAGTGCATGCTCTGTAGGGCATTGCTTTGGGGCATACCTGTGGCTGTCCACATGCCTTTTCTGTCTGCTTCCAGGCTAGCAGCTAGGTTCTGGATAATTGGGGTTACCGGTTAAGGGACTTCTGGATAAGTGAGATATAGCTATAGCAAGGTGCACCCAATAGGAGGGTGAGGACAATGGTTAGGAAGAAGGGGGTGATTTGGTGGCACAAAGCAGATATTGGGTCCTTCTTGAGCCTAGTGATTACCCATTTGGGTACTAGGCTTTGGGCTTTAGAGTTTGGCCTCAGTGGGAGACTCCTGCCTCCAGCCTCTGGCCTCCCCCCACTCCCAGTCCAGCCCCTCTCCTGTTCCCATGGTGATGTAAGACAACAAATCAGAGCAAGTTGCTTTTCAGCTGCAACCCCTGCAGAGCTGCCACTGCCCTCTGGAGAAGGCCGATACCCCCTAGCATGACTAGGAAGGCCTCCACCACCCACCCTGTTTAACCCTCTGAAGCTCAGGCAAACCTCAGTGCCTTTGCACGTGCTATTCCTTCTCCCCCGTTGCCCTTCGCCTGCCTGGGGGACCATGAATTCATCCTTGGATACCCAACCCAAACATCATCTTTGACATATTCCCTAACCTTCTCCCCACCCCCAGCACTGAGCACCCACTCCTCTGTCCTTGCCATACCTGTGATGTCCTCCTACCAGAACACTGACCACCCTGGCCTACAGGGTCTGATCAGTGGCTTGGTGGCTTGCTCACTGATGCTCAGTGTGGCTGTGAAGCTGTCACCAGGAAACTCTCTGGGGTCTCATAGGCAAGAAGTCCACGCACATTAACGGTGGAAGCTGCCTGGACAGGATGGTGTTGGGGGCAGGAGGGTGGGGTTGGGAGGGAGTGGTGTGCTTTTCATTTTCGTGTCCTCCGGAGTCTTCTTGCTGTTGTTGTTGATCTAGGCAAATAAGCTTGTGTGGTTTCTTTGTGGGGGGCAGGGCTTGGGTATGAGGGCTGACGGTGGCTTCCAGGCTCCTGCCTCCCGTGGAGTTAGGGTCTCTCATTCCTGCCTGAGTCCTGCACTCCTAGCATGTGATCTTGGGTGAATCCATGTGTCTCTCTGGGTGTCAGTTTCCCCATCTGCATGGCAGATGGCACCAGTTGCTTTCTGTGACCCATCTTAACCTCAACATTTCACACATTGGGTCAGCATTTCAACATGGAGCACTTCCTATGTGCCAGGCATGTGCTGGACTCCTGAGCGAGACATACAGTGCTCCTGCTCATGGGAATCACAGTCCAGTGGACAAGACACTAGGCACACATATCATTTCATTACAATCACGAGAATTATGGAGTTCTGCGAGATTTCGTTAAAGGATCCCAATATAGTTGGGGAATTACGGAAAGTCTTCCCTAAAGACATCGTATTTGGGCCCCAGCCGGTTTAGCTCAGTGGATAGCGTTGGCTCACAGACTGAAGGGTCCCGGGTTCGATTCCAATCAAAAGCAGGTACCTTGGTTGCAGGTTCCCTGACCCTGGTCTCTCTCACATCAATGTTCCTCTCTGTCTCTCCCATTCCCTTCCACTTTCTAAAAATCAATAGAAAAAATATCCTCGGGTGAGGATTAACAAAACAAAACAAAACTAAACAAAAAAAAGAAAAAAATCATGTTTGAGACTTGAGATATAAAATTTAAAAAGCAGTAACGCTAGTAATAGTCACGCCTAGCACTTAGCAGACACGTGCTAAGCGTTCTCCGGGTGCACCCTCTGCGGCAGTCCTTCAACAACTCTGGGGGGCTCAGTAGACTTCCTGTCCTGTGACAATTACATGAGTCAACTGCTGGCAAGTACCTCGCCCAGTGCCTGGCAGAGACCAGGGCTCATCCCCTGCATCTCCTCCTTCCCTGCCTCCCCCACACTCCAAAGGCCAGCCTAACC